CTAGTATATATTTATAGCAGGCTCGTTATAATTTATATGATTATTGATAAATTCGTAACTTTGATCGCGATATTTTTCGCTTATCGCTCACTGAGGAGCAGCAGTGGGTACGTGATACACGAAACAGAGACAGGTGGTTGTCACTTATTTACTTGCTCGCCATCTACGTACTCTGTTACGGATATTAAGCGGTCCGTTTAGACGAGCATTTAGATTGAAATCAGTCCGCGATCAATTATCAATCCCGAATGAATTACCGTTTCGATAAGCAGCATTTATTGCGGCATCATCAATAATTGTTCCCGCATTAACCGCTGTTATTGCTCCGCCGGGCAATTAATTTTCTCGTCCGGAACGACGTAATTAATTATCGCCAAACCGTATCGTCTGTGTGCGTACGTATGCGAGCAAATGCGCATATGCCTTGAACACAGTATAGTCGACGAACCTCGCCCCCTCCCCATCCTGTATCGATCCATCGATTCAGGGATCGATCGATCAACCCGTGTTCGAACGAACGTCGTCCGGTGCGTGCACGACTGCTCTCGTTTCGGTTGGGTAACAGCTGCTTCATCATCATCCTCGCCCCGGAAGGTTGAGGAAGAACGTTGTAGAAATTGGACACGGAACGATCCGCGCAAAAAATGAATCGGCGTTATCAGCATTGCATAATTAGCCGTCCTTTCTTGCAAATTACGCGCATCGATAATGCGGCTCGTTCATTCTCGTCCCTCGATCGCTCGCCTCCTTCGTTTTTGTTCGAACGTGTATCGGTAAAAACATTCCGGTTGTTTCAGGAATTAAAGAAAACTACTGTACGTATTCCGTAATGAGTAGTCGATTAACGAGAATGGGAGACGAACTTCGGTGGAACGGCTACGAGGCCGTTGCAGCTGTATATGCAAACGCAAGGACGAAACGGTTCTACATGCTCGTAACATAAAGTCGATCTCCGAGATCATAACGATAATCGTACCGGTGTTTCGATGAGTAAATACAATAAATATATTAGTTATGAACAGGAGCAGCGTGCCACAGGTGTGGGTCTCGGAGTCGGGTGCGACCGGGGCGCGTGGCGTTCGCATTTTGTCTTCGCGAGTCGATATAATCTTTCAATGGAAATCAGCGAAAGTAAGTGAGACGTCTCGCGCGGCCACGGGACAAACGACCGTTCTTTTTCTCGACCGTGCGCCCGCGATAAGCGCGCCACGCTTCGATTCGCGATGATACATACACGCCGGGCCGGGCCATATGTTTGCGGGCATCGGTGAAGTTCGCGTGCCGCAATTCTTCCATATGTTGGATCCAGCGAGGTTTCATGTCGTCTAACTAAACGCAACGGTCACGCACAGATTTGTGAACGGGGTCTGTCTGTTTGATTGTCCGAACACTTAGTTTGTTCTCGACGACGTGTATTAACGAATCAAATATTTAGCCTCTCGCCGAGCGTGTGTAGGTGCCGCCTTTCGTTTGGCTTGACATAAAACAGTGAATGCTAATGGACGCCCGAGGGTGTTGGCAATTTCACTGTCAATTAACTCAGCTTTTCTTATTATGCAATAAACGCTTCAAGCGGTTTGCTTAGGTATGTGTTAACAAACAGAAATTAATAAATGTATTCATACATGATTATTTATGGGCTGAGGTGGAACACTTCGTGGCTCATCGTAAGAGTGATTAAATTTTTATTACAAATTATACTGGCATATGTAAAATGTCTGGAATTTTAAACAATATTGCAATTGTCAAAGCGAACCGTGATATGTTGATGGGCGCACCGTGCGTGAAAAGCAAAATTATGAATGCAAATTCAAAAGTTGTTTTTGTAATCAGACGAACAAAAAATTGACGTATAGAGAATTTGTATACAAGGGGAGGAAGGAATCACGTCCGTGGCTTTAAGTGATACTGGCATTTAAGGTAGTATGCAATTCGGATGGCGAATTTTCGTCGGGGCCGAATGCGTGCAACCGAAGAGGAGCAAAGAGGAATGAGCGAGCGAGCCCGCGTTTCATGGCTCGCGTGCGCATGATTGCAGCCCCGAGCCGGCGAGTCAGGTGGCTGTCTACCGACCCTGCCGAGCCTTGAAGAATCACGATTCAAAGACCGAAGATGGAACGTTACTCCGAGTCCCCGACATAGTAGTAGACTGCCTCAGAGCCATATTCCTCGGGCTCTGAAACTCGTGTTCCCGTTCCGTAGAACTGCCCGTAGGAAAGTCAGTGGAAGATTGTTCACTTTCTTTTTATCTGCCTCCCCTCGCGGACGGCTGCGATTGTTCGACGATTATTCCCTGTAAAACCCTGGCAATTTCGTTATTAAACCACTCTGGTTTCCTTCGATCCCGTAGCCTCGCTCGCAGGTACGCCGATCGTCGGTTATGTTGGGTGGGTTTTAAATGCGCACGTCAGGATATGGATCAATCCAGACAGTAAATCAGGTGATTAAAAATCTGTATACAAACCACCGAGGAGAGATACTTGTAAATGAATTTCGAAACTTATTC